TCTACAATGGGGCCATCCCAGCTGAGTTGCTTGTGGGCTTTTGATGGTGGTGGTGGTTTGAGTGATTGGCCTGCACTAGAGGTCCACTCGGTGGCACAGTGTATGCAATTGGGACTCTTTACCCTTGCAAGCTGACCTAAGTAGAACGATAGAATTTCCTTCACTAGGTTGTCAGATGCCGAGGAGGAGGACAGGAAGGCTGGTACAGAGATTTGCATTGCTGTTCGAATGCCGAGGGCTCTTTAAGTCTTACGAGAAGGCCGGCTTGTTTCCACTGTAGGTCATCGAGAGAGAGAGAGGTTGAGGGCTATTTCTAACATCGATTTCAGTAAAAGGTCCTATTCACCTAGTTGTTGGCTACTGTAGAATGGTGAACACGTCACAAAGCAGGTTAACATGGCGATGGACAGGCATCTGGTGATGAGGTAAAGTGCATCATGAGCATCAATATCCTCAGTCTTCCCATCCATCCTCTTATGGTCAGCGATTTTCTTATCAGGGATCTCATCAATGGCTTTCAACCCCATGGGGGGAGGGGGGTTCCTAAGAGTCTGCTGTCTTCAGGTTTGTTTATATGAATATTTGGCAGGACACCCTCTATTCTCTCTAAGATGCCCAATTTGTAACATATTATTTCGCACTTAGAAGCATTCAGGGTGAGGCCTAAAATTTCACCTTGCTCCTGGATTGTTCTAATGTCCTCCTGGAGGGAGTCTTGGGAACCAGCTAGGGTACCATCATACATGAACCAGATGTTAAGTTCGCTGGACAGGACTTCTGTGATTTATTTGTTGACTAAGCAGAAAACGAGAGGAGCAAGAGGGTCAGCCTGTTGGACGCCTTTCGCGAGTCAAATTCATATTAGCCAAAAAGTAGTTTTAGATACATACTGTAGCATGAATGTACAAAAGGGTAGAGGGAAGGGAAATGACTGTGGACCGCACGGAGTACAGCATCACTCAGCACCAAATTGAAAGCATTTTTTAATCTAGCATGATCAGGGCCATTTCGTCTGTGATGTTAGCAATGAAAGCTCGAGCTGCCTGAGCTACCGCCTCGCCCCCTTGAGGAATGCTGAACCCGAGCTGTTTTGGTTTCACTAGTTGACCGCTGCCTCGCTAACTGTTTTTGCAGCAGCCTTTGCAACGAGACGCGAGAGGGAATTGCCCACAACTACAAGTCTAATCCTTCCATTCCTTTTCCTAAGAGCACAGAAAGATGCTTTCAAAAAAAGAAAAGTATTATTGTATCTGGTATGTGTCCAGCTAGACGTATGTTGGTGAATCTCGTTAGTTCCACGAGGAGGGCCTATGCAATGTCCTTGTCACCCCTACTTTAATGTGGTTGGGTTTTAGTCCTGTTAACCTACCTGCTGATCCTGTTGGGAAGGACAAGGCTGCTCTATGGACCACAGATTCGGCCTCTCTGTCAGCATTTGAGTCCTCGCTGGTATTTATATGTTTCATTCACCTGGGCAATTGGAGCCTCAAACCTCCGACCACATAAACAGTAACGAGTAGTTATATATATATATATATATATATATATATATATATATATATATATATATATATATATATATATATATATATATATATATATATATATATATATATATATATATATATATATATATATATATAAATGTATATATTATTAAATATGACCGAAAAAGTAAGATTAATAATTCTAACACGAATTTTCTCGATCTTTCTTATGTTTCTTTTCACAGGTTGATAGTAATTGAAAAATCAATTCTCCAAAATTCATTTTTATTTCTACTATTTATTTCTACTATTCATTTCTATTATTTCTGACGCGACACTTGAGCGCATTTCGTAAAACTTATTACATTTTCAAAGATTTTAGTTTATACACACACAACTATAACTGAATAGAGCTTAAACATCTTCGATTTTTTATACATGCATTTGGTTTGGTTGTGAGAAGAGATTATATGTTCCTTAATGGAGCCCTGTTGCTTATGCATCGTTAAACGCCTGGAAAGAGATGTTGTTGTCTTGCCTATATACTGAGTTTTTTGAGGCTTACAGTCCCCAAGAGGGCATTTGAAGGCATAGACGACGTTGTTCTCTTTTAAAGCGTTCTGCTTTGTGTCTGGAGAGTTTCTCATGAGTAGGCTGGCCGTTTTTTTGGTTTTATAGTAAATCGTCAGTTGTATCTTCTGATTTTTGTCTGTAGGGATAACATTTCTATTAACAATATCTTTCAGGACCCTTTCCTCCGTTTTATGAGCTGTAGAAAAGAAGTTCCTGTAAAATAGTCTAATAGGGGGTATAGGTGCTGTGTTAGTTGTCTCTTCAGAGGTTGCATGGCGTTTCACTTTCCTTCTCCTTGGATGAAACAATCGGGATGATAGCGGACAGAGTGTATCGTGATCCGGCCTGTACTCCTCTTGAGATACCAGAAAACATTCTAAGGAAACTACTCCAAGCTTGTACTAAAGAGGCACCCTTCTTGAGCCCAGATGGGCACATGTACAAGCAAGTAGATGGGGTCGCCATGGGTTCTCCGCTAGATGTCCTGTTTGCGAACTTCTACATGGGTACCATCGAACAAAAGGTCTTAGTCGACATGAACTTGAAACCGGCCATATACTGCAGGTATGTTGACGACAATTTTACACAGGTACCTGATGTCAGACATCTGCAGAAGCTGAAGGAGGTATTTGAGCAGAATTCTGTGTTGCATTTCACTTACGAGATGGAAAAGGATGGGAAGCTGCCCTTTCTAGATGTAACAGTCATGGAAAGGAGCGGAGGTTTCCACACTGCAGTCTACACTAAGGAAACAAACATAGGAATGTGCCTAAATGCCAACAGTGACTGCCCAGACAGGTACAAGAGGAGTGTTGTTAACGCTTATGTCGACCGTGCTCTCAGCCACAGCTCAGGATGGAAGCAAGTCGACGAAGAACTCTGTAGGGTAAGGCAGGTCCTAGTCAACAACGGCTTCTCCAATGGTTTCGTCGAAGACATAATAAGAAGGAAAGTGAAACGCCATGCAACCTCTGAAGAGACAACTAACACAACACCTATACCCCCTATTAGACTATTTTACAGGAACTTCTTTTCCACAGCTCATAAAACGGAGGAAAGGGTCCTGAATGATATTGTTAATAGAAACGTTATCCCTACAGACAAAAAAACAGAAGATACAACTGACGATTTACTATAAAACCAGAAAAACGGCCAGCCTACTCATGAGAAACTCTCCAGACACAAAACAGAACGCTATAAAAGAGACCAACGTCGTCTATGCCTTCAAATGCCCACTTGGGGACTGGAAGCTCCAAAAAAAACAGTATATAGGCAAGACAACAACATCTCTTTCTAGGCGTTTAATGTGGGAACCGACCTGTGAGATTTATATTTATTTAATATATATGAATTTATATTTACGTTAATTTGGATACTTCGATAGTAATTTGTATAATGATAAGTGGACTGTATTTCTGCAATAATCTCTTAATCTCACAAATCGATCCTCTACACATTAGGGGGGGGGTTTATATTAAATGAATTTATATATATGCAGCCAATCAAACTACAGTATTAACTACACATTATTAAACATTGAAGAGGTTCCTTATCTTATTTGTACAGCAGGCCTTAGTTCACCAGGTATGGCCGAGCAGTATGTCAGCATTCATGGTGTACCGGTGACGTTCTCCGAGGTCGAGCTGCAGTCTGTTTTTGCGAAGTTTGGGGTGGTGATGTTTCACCACTTCAACCTTTTGAGTACGGGCCGGCTGCGCGGGCTGCGTATAGGCACTCGTACGCTTGGTATGAGGATTACGTCCCATGTTCTGTCCAGACTTCTGTATCGTGGGCTCTCGCTCAGGGTCTTTTATCAGGGCCAGACTCGCACCTGTTTCCGGTGTGATGCTGAAGGCCATGTGGCGGCCGGCTATGATGCTCCTCGAGCTGAGGCTCCCTCAGTTTTCTTGGAGGGGGTGACTTCCCCTGTTTGGATATATGTGGGGCTTCATCGTCGCCTTATCGCTCTGACCAGGTGCCTAGGGTGGTTCCTGCAGCGAGTTTGGCGGGTGCTCCCTCTGGTCTTGCTTGGTCTGGCCATGGTACGTCTGCCCCACCGGTGTGCTCTGTGGACCTGGGGGTTCCTGCCTCGGGGGTTCTCCGTTCGGTGGTGGCGGAGGTGAATCCGTGGCCGGAGGCTTCCGTGCGGTCCTCGGATGTTGCTGTTGGTGTGGTGCCTGCCTCCACTGCTGACGATTGTCTGCTGCCCGGGGCTGCCAGGGTTGTGGTGAGTGTACCCTCTTCCCCGCCCTCTGTCTCTGCATCAACTCCCTCGTCGCCTGCGGAGGTCTCCTCGCCCCCTGGTTCGTCTTCACCTGCGCCTACCCTGTCGTCCTTGGTGGGATGCCCCCTGTGAGCTGGGGTGTGATCTCCCGCCTCCCGGGCCTGCTCCTTCTCCGTCTCCTGTTTCCAGGCATGGTCGTGGACTGTTACCCCATGTTGTGGAGGTTGCTGTTCTGCGTGACGGTGCAGCATCGGCTTTGGAGCCGCTCACGTCGGGTTCTTCTGGGGCGCCCCTGGCTGGGGAGTCATAGTTCCGACGATCAGCAGCCTCATGTGAAGCGCTGTCGTTCAGCTCGGGATGCGTCGTCTCGTCAGTTGTGGGCAGAGGACCGTGTTGCAATGGAAGATGAAGGCGAGGACGTCGCGGTGTGTCTTCTGTGGTGTCTCAAGTGTTGGAAGCTGTGCCTTCTGCTGGTGGCTTCCCTGTGTGGGCGGCTACTCCCGGTGCCCGGGAACTGGTGGTCATGTTATCTAAAGATGGCCGTCGGGGGGCTTCGCCCCTCGTTCCGGTTGGCGGGGGCTCTGTGGCTCCAGCGGAGAGCTCCTCCGTCAGGCTGGGTGCAGCGCCTGGCGTTGTTCGCTGTGCTCGCCCTGGGGTCCAGGATGATGTGCGGCCGGCGTGTCGCGACGAGTTGGGGGTGTCCTGAGGTTGTCCCGATGGCGCACTCTGTTGTATGCGCGTCCTTGAATGTTCAGGGTTTGAATGCTCTTGGAGTCCAGTTGGGCCTGTTGGATGTTCTGCGGGAGCAACGTGTGAATGTGACTCTCATCCAAGAGCATAATGTTCATGATGTGTCTGTGTTGCAGTGTCTGAGTGTGCATTATCATGTGGGTGTGTGAGTGGTTGCTTCTGTGGTTGTGTGTTCGGTTTGTTGTGTGGGTGTGTGGGTGTGTGGGTAGCGCTTCTTTGCTGGGTCCTGCGTGGGCTGTTGTTCGTGCCCTGTGTGGGTTGGTGCAGCTGTTTTGTTGCTAATTTTGTTGCTACAGTGATGTTCTTCCTGGTGTGAGTGTTTTTGTGTTGCATGTGTCTCGGTGTTTTGCTTTTCGCCTCTGGTTCTTTCTTGGGGTTGTCATGTAGTTGTACCTGGGCCTTGGCCGTAATTTGTTTTATGTTACTTATATATATTTTGTGTGCAGTGTGATTCTGTTTTGTGTTATTTATGTGATTGTGTTCATCTTGTGTGTGTGTGTATTGGTTTCTTCTGTGTACGTTTTTGTGTCTTTCTAGGTACATGTGTTTGTTGTGTGTCCATTTCTATGTTTCACTTTGTATTCAGGCTAATGTGCCTGGAGTTTCTAGGTTCTCCTGATGTATTGTTTTCTTCTGTACTTGTGTTTATTATTATATTCTTATTATTATGTTCTTGTTGTTATGTTCTTGTTTTGTGTCTTGTGCTATACTTTGTATATTTCTTTTATAAAAAAAATGTGTCCTTCCACACAAACTCGCCCTCACCACCTACCATATACACGGTCATCCTCCTCCCTGCCGGTTCACAGGTGGGGAGGAGATCGGAGGATGACCCTCCCCTCGTCTTATCCCCTGTCATCTTTCCCTCTTCCTCCCCTCTCCTTCTCTCTCTGCAAAGCTGTGAGAGACTAGACAAAACCATCTTGCCTCCAACCATAGACTGACAGACAAACCGTCAATTTCTCTTATGTATGGTAATAATAAAAAAGACCTAATGTGGAAAGAAATATCTGAAAATAACGAAACTCGTTCAGCCTGTTAGGCTCATCAGACCATGCTTATTAGGCAAAGTAGCGGGGATCTGGTAGCCTTACTGTTATTACCTCAGCGCAGAACGCTACAATTTTCTGAAATTCACTTCAACTGTATATATCTCGCTCATTTGAAATATCTAACTAGATCGTCGTGTGACGATATTGAGGTGTTCTCTGAACTTGATACAACAGAGAAACTGTTTACCATCAGCATGAGTGTAAAGGAAGGAGCTCGACACAGCGGGGAGAGGCGGAAGAGCACACTTTTATAGATTCGACGATATCTATGTATTAATCAATGCTGTTAAAAATGCATAAATTATATGAAATATTATGAAGTGAAGAAAAGGAACTCTAGCTTAATGTTCAGTAAACTGATATGTTAACACATGCATACACTTGTTTACATACATATAATCGCCAATAAACACATGCTTTAAAATTAATTGGAATAGAGTGAATCTTTAGTCGATACAAATCGACTTACGATTTGTTTAACAGGTTAAGTCGATACAAATATGCATGATTACAGGCAAATTCGCATCCACATTAATACAAACTAACACTCACATAATCAAACGCCCACAATGAAAATGTGAGTTAAACATATCAAAGCAAATGTTCAAACACAAACATTCCCGTTAATTCCCGAAGATATATGTTGTTCACGTAAGCCCATACATAGACAAACAGGCACAGACAAGCGCCTTTATGCACCTTGGTTGTGACATTTGTGCCCGGCAGAATGGGCACTATATCCCGGCTCTCAGTCAACACTGCTTACTAAACATTGGCCATCAAGAATATGGGCCAAGTAGTCCTGTATATGGGCCAAGAGGTCCTGTTTAACACAGCAACAACGGTGTTGGGGCCGCCTCTGAGAGATGGTCCAGGAGACCCCCCACACCTGCGCCGCAACACCCTGCTACCCTCGCCTGGTGATGTATAGTACCTAAGTCGGGCACCACTACCACCATTCCTGGATGACTCTCCTGGTGACGTATTGCATCTGAGTCAGGTACCACTACCACCATTCCTGGCTTCCAATGATCATTATTTAACTTCTAGTAAAACATTGGTTTTCAATGAATACTTTAAATAATAAAAATTATCTATCAATAAATGCAAATCGAGATATAAATAATTCATTATTTTAATTTTAAATTTTATTACAAAAGCAAAATAAATGAATGAATGAATTATCTTTATTATTAAGGCCGATCAATCGCAGGAGAGGAACTGGAGTCTAAACAATGTACAGTGTCACCTACACTTACGACTGCCCCGGCTACTTACGAATTTTTCGAGTCACGACCCCAATTTCGTCGAAAAATGCGACTCACCTTGCAACCTTTGCCTCGACTAGCGACTTTGTCGATATACATATGGGTTGACCGAGCGCACGTTTAGGGGCGATCGCGCTTGTAAAGAATTTAATTGTTTTTGTGCTTTATATGTTTTTGGAACATAAAGGTAATTATTATATATCACCTCATGGGTCCCAAGAAAGTCATTGGTTAGATTCAACCTAAGAAAATTGTTGTGAGTAGAGGCAGTGGAGAATGCACCTTCCTCATTAAGAAAATGTCTGAAGTATGGGAAGAATTGCAAAGTTTTGTTAAAAAACTCACCCAGATAAAGCTGTAGCAGACCGTTGCATTGACCTTCTAAATGACAATGTGATGTCTGACTACTGGGAAGGGAAGGGAACTACCAAAGAAAAGCGCCAAGCCCTTATGACTATATAGCTCTTGGAAGGGGTCAGGATATCAGGATTTGGGATGGGACAGGGGAAAGGAATGGTGACCAACAACTTGGACGGTCGGATATTGAATGCCTCGTGGTATCCTGCAAAACGTAGGAAAAAGAGAGAGAGTACCCCAGAGAAGTCATCACTGCCTGATGTTATATTGGAAGGGGATGCCCCTTCCAAACAGTAAGACCTCTCCTCCTCCACCCCCCCCCCCCTTCCACACCCTTTTCCATACCCCAACAAAAGTCTGCAGTAAAGATAAGATATACATACTGTATTGTAGCTAGAGCAAAACGAGTGGTAGTCTTTATAAAAAGTATTTTTAATTAAGTATAATATTTATATAATAATGTTAATATTTTGGAGGGAGTGGAACGGATTATTTAAATATATGTAATCTCTTACGGGAAAATTCGTTTCGAGTTACGAATTTTCGAGTTACGACCAGTTTCTGGGAACGGATTAAATTTAGTGGTTCAAACACAGTGGAGGTACCACTGTGTTGAGTCCTAGGAGGGACCAACTGTTTTGTTGTGGGCACATCGCAGCAGACAAGTGGGCAGTGCATATGGGAAGTTTGTTACTTACAGTGGGAAGTTACAGCAGAGATTCTGACTACAGGAAAGATACTGATTACAGCAGAGATGCTGACTACAACAGAGATGCGGACTACAGTAGAGATACTGACTACAGCAGAGATGCAGACTATCTTCTTCTTGAGGTTATCTTGAGATGTTTTCTGGGCTTTTTAGTGTCCCCGCGGCCCGGTCCTCGACCAGGCCTCCACCCCCAGGAAGCAGCCCATGACAGCTGACTAACACCCAGGTGCCTATTTACTGCTAGGTAACAGGGGCATAGGGTGAAAGAAACAATGCCCATTGTTTCTCGCTGGCGCCCGGGATCGAACCCAGGACCACAGGATCACAAGTCCAGCGTGCTGGCCGCCTGGCCGACTGGCTCCCCTACACTACAGTAGAGATGCTGACTACAGAAGAGATGCTGACTACAGCAGAGATGCTGACTACAGCAGAGATGCTGACTACAGCAGAGATGCTGACTACAGCAGAGATGCTGACTACAGCAGAGATGCTGACTACAGCAGAGATGCTGACTACAGCAGAGATACTGACTACAGTAGAGATGCTGACTACAGAAGAGATGCTGACTACAGCAGAGATGCTGACTACAGCAGAGATGCTGACTACAGCAGAGATGCTGACTACAGCAGAGATACTGACTACAGCAGAGATGCTGACTACAGCAGAGATGCTGACTACAGCAGAGATGCTGACTACAGCAGAGATACTGACTACAGTAGAGATGCTGACTACAGAAGAGATGCTGACTACAGCAGAGATACTGACTACAGCAGAGATGCTGACTATAGCAGAGATACTGACTACAGCAGAGATACTGACTACAGCAGAGATGCTGACTACAGCAGAGATGCTGACTACAGCAGAGATACTGACTACAGCAGAGATGCTGACTACAGCAGAGATGCTGACTACAGCAGAGATACTGACTACAGCAGAGATACTGACTACAGCAGAGATACTGACTACAGCAGAGATGCTGACTACAGCAGAGATGCTGACTACAGCAGAGATACTGACTACAGCAGAGATGCTGACTACAGCAGAGATGCTGACTACAGCAGAGATGCTGACTACAGCAGAGATACTGACTACAGCAGAGATGCTGACTACAGCAGAGATGCTGACTACAGCAGAGATGCTGACTACCTACCTACCTTGAGGCTACCTTGAGGTGCTTCCGGGGCTTAGTGTCCCCGCGGCCCGGTCGTCGACCAGGCCTCCTGGTTGCTGGACTGATCAACCAGGCTGTTAGACGCGGCTGCTCGCAGCCTGACGTATGAGTCACAGCCTGGTTGATCAGGTATCCTTTGGAGGTGCTTATCCAGTTCTCTCTTGAACACTGTGAGGGGTTTGCCAGTTATGCCCCTTATGTGTAGTGGAAGTGTGTTGAACAGTCTCGGGCCTCTGATGTTGATAGAGTTCTCTCTCAGAGTACCTGTTGCACCTCTGCTTTTCAACGGGGGTATTCTGCACATCCTGCCATGTCTTCTGGTCTCATGTGGTGTTATTTCTGTGTGCAGGTTTGGGACCAGCCCCTCAATTATTTTCCACGTGTAAATTATTATGTATCTCTCCCGCCTGCGCTCAAGGGAGTACAGATTTAGGCTCTTTAGTCGGTCCCAGTAGTTTAGATGTTTTACTGAGTGGATTCTAGCAGTAAAGGATCTCTGCACGCTCTCTAGGTCAGCAATTTCTCCAGCTTTGAAAGGGGCTGTCATTGTGCAGCAGTACTCCACTCTAGAGAGCACAAGCGTTTTGAAAAGTATCATCATCGGTATAGCATCTCTAGTGTGAAAAGTTCTTGTTATCCAACCTGTCATTTTTCTTGCAGTTGCGACGGCTACTTTATTGTGTTCTTTAAAGGTAAGGTCTTCCGACATGAGTACACCCAGGTCCTTTACATTGCCTTTTCGTTCTATGTTATGATTTGCCTGCGTTTTGTACGTGGTTTCTGTTTTTATATTTTCAATTTTTCCGTAGCGCATGAGCTGAAACTTATCCTCGTTGAATACCATATTATTTTCTGTAGCCCATAGAAAGACCTGATCTACATCTGATTGGAGGTTTGCCGTGTCCTCTATGTTGCCAACTCTCATGAAAATCCTAGTGTCATCTGCAAAGGATGATACAGTGCTATAGGTTGTGTTCTGGTCTATGTCCGATATGAGGATGAGAAAAAGTACTGGAGCAAGCACAGTACCCTGGGGGACTGAGCTCTTCACGGTTGATGGGCTGGATTTTATTTTGTTGACTATTACACATTGGGTTCTGTCAGTCAGGAAATTGTAGATCCATCTGCCTATTTTCCCGGTAATTCCTTTTGAACGCATTTTATGTGCAATAACACCATGGTCACATTTATCAAAAGCTTTTGCGAAATCTGTGTAAATTACATCAGCGTTTTGTTTGTCTTCCATAGCATCTAATGCCATATCATAGTGGTCCAGCAACTGCGACAGGCAAGAGCGCCCTGTTCTGAAACCATGTTGTCCGGGGTTATGGAGATGCTGTGATTCCATGTATTTTGTGATCTTACTCCTTAGCACTCTCTCAAAAATTTTTATGATGTGCGATGTTAGTGCTATCGGTCTGTAATTTTTTGCCTCTGCCTTACTTCCTCCTTTATGGAGTGGTGCTATCTCTGCTGTTTTTAGTATGTCAGGGATAACGCCAGTATCTAGGCTTTGTCTCCACAGAATGTGAAGGGCCTGCGATAGTGGTTTTTTACAGTTCTTGATGAATATGGAGTTCCAAGAATCCGGGCCTGGTGCAGAGTGCATAGGCATACTGTTTATGGCTTCTTCAAAAACTAGTGGGGATAGGGCGACGTCTGATATGTGATTTGATGTTGGTATCATATCCATGAAAAATTCATTTGGGTTATCAATCTTTAGTGCATTTAATGGCTCACTGAAAACAGAGTCGTACTGCTTCCTCAGTAACTCGCTCATTTCTTTGTTGTCATCTGTGAAAGTTCCATCTCCCTTTCGCAGGGGCCCGATACTAGATGTGGTTTTTGATCTTGATTTTGCATAGGAGAAAAAATATTTCGGATTTCTCTCTATTTCACTGATGGCCTTTTGCTCTCTTTGCCTCTCCTGGGTTTTGTATGATTCTTGTAGCTTGAGTTCAATTGTTTCTATTTCTCTACCTAACCTTCTACGCCGTTCTTGAGATAGGGTGCGACTCTCAAGTTGTTCCGCGATTCGTTTTCTTCGCCTATATAGGGAACGACGTTCCCGTTCCAATCTGCATCTCTTTCTCTTTTTTCTTAGTGGTATGCGGTTTGAACATATTTCTAGTGCTACTGAGCTTATTTTTTCCAGGCACTGGTTCAGGTTTGCATTTCCTAGCTGTTCTTCCCAGTTTATTTCTGTGAAGTCCTGGTTTATTTGCTCCCAGTTTATCCGTTTATTATTGAAGTTGAATTTGCTGAAATCTCCTCCACCGGGAATCTGGACTGGTTTTGAAGGTCCATTTCCCATGGTTGTCAGAACTTCAATTAAGTTGTGATCTGAGTAACAGGTATTTGTAATCATTATGTTCCCGATCAACTCATCATTATTAGTGAAAATGAGGTCCAGCGTGTTCTCCTTCCTAGTTGGTTCTACTATTTGCTGGTTTAAGGCAAACCTATCGCACATCCGTAGCAGGTCATTTGCATGTGCCTGCTCATTTAGGCTACTTCCTGGTATTCTTTCTGATATTACTGTATTAGCCAGGTGCTTCCATTTCAGGTGCCGTAGGTTGAAGTCCCCAAGCAGGATGATGTTCGGAGCTGGATTTGTGAGGTTTTCCAAGCAGTGTTCTATTTTCATTAGTTGGTCTTTAAACTGCTGAGGGTTTGCCTCCGGTGACTTATATACAAGGACAACAACTACATTTAGGATCTCTATTTTGACTATCAGCACTTCCACCATATCATTTGAGGTGTTTAGCAGCTCAGTACAGATGAGTGTGTCTTTGATGTAGAGGCTGACCCCACCCTGAAGCCGGTGTTTCCTATCACATCTGAAGAGATTGTATTCTGAGATCCATATTTCACCATCAAGGTAGTCCTTTGTGTGAGTTTCCGTTAGGGCTGCAAACACTGCATTTGCCTCATGAAGGAGACCATCTATAAAATGAACTTTGTTGGATTTGCGTGTTTTTATACCCTGGATGTTGGCAAATATAAATGATGTTATCGTGTTAGTGGAAGTGCTGGATGCTTTAATTGGTGTTAATATCTGAGGCTCTGGTAAGGAGGCCACTGTGTTTGCGTCCTCTCTAGCATTTGACCGAGTTGGTGGTAGAGTCTGGTCATTTTTAGCCATTCTTCTCCTCCTCCTCTTGCTAAAAAATTATCCCGGTTGATGGAGTAGTGGCTGTTTTCATAGTGGTAGTCTGTCGGTTTTATTCGCCTGGTACCTCTTATATGAAAAGCTGGACATTCAGCATTGAAGCACTCTTTCCTGTCCAAAGAGTTCTTGCAAATTTCTGGGTGAAAGAATTCACAGCTTTTGGTACATTTACCTGTATTGAGGAGGTTTCTGCACTTTCTAGGGTGATCGTGTGTACATGTTCCATTTATTCTTCCCGATTCCCCATGCTTACAGGTAGCCCATCTGTAATACCAACAGATTTTGGGGCCTTGTTTTGTTTGTTTCCCTCTGCCAGGGACCGCACTCTGCTGCGGCGCCCCCGACACTGTGCCCTGCTCCGGTGCCTGTGACACCGCGCTCTGCTCCGGTGCCTGTGACACCGCGCTCTGCTCCGGTGCCTGTGACACCGCGCTCTGCTCCGGTGCCTGTGACACCGCGCTCTGCTCCGGTGCCTGTGACACCGCGCTCTGCTCCGGTGCCTGTGACACCGCGCTCTGCTCCGGTGCCTGTGACACCGCGCTCTGCTCCGGTGCCTGTGACACCGCGCTCTGCTCCGGTGCCTGTGACACCGCGCTCTGCTCCGGTGCCTGTGACACCGCGCTCTGCTCCGGTGCCTGTGACACCGCGCTCTGCTCAGGGTCCCCGACTCCGTGCCCTGCTCAGGCATCCCCGACTCCGCGCCCTGCTCAGGCATCCCCGACTCCGTGCCCTGCTCAGGCATCCCCGACTCCGCGCCCTGCTCAGGCATCCCCGACTCCGCGCCCTGCTCAGGCGGCACATTTTTTGTGTATGGCTGCTGAACAGAGTTGGCATTGAAAGCTCTGTTGGTAATCTACCTTCATGTTGCATTCTATGCACGTTTTTATCAAAGCCATTTTTTGAACACTTCTGTTCAGTGGTGATGGTCTTACAAGGTGGGGTGTTGACCGGTGGGGGAGTTGACCGCGGGTGCTGGCCGTGGGAGCTGGCCGTGGGAGCTGGCCGTGGGTGTTGACCGTGGGTGTTTACCAACTTGAGATAGGCCTGGAAGAGGCTGTATGGACGGCCAGTGTTGCTACCACGTGTAGTCTACAGTGTAGTCTACAGACGTGTAGTCTACAGACGTGTAGTCTACAGACGTGTAGTCTACAGACTACACGTGTAGTCTACAGACTACCACGTGTAGTCTGTAGTCGCCGACTACAGCAGAGATACTGACTACAGTAGAGATACTGACTACAGCAGAGATGCTGACTACAGTAGAGATACTGACTACAGCAGAGATGCTGACTACAGCAGAGATGCTGAATACAGCAGAGATACTGACTACAGCAGAGATACTGACTACAGCAGAGATGCTGACTACAGTAGAGATACTGACTACAGCAGAGATGCTGACTACAGCAGAGATGCTGACTACAGCAGAGATGCTGACTACAGCAGAGATACTGACTACAGTAGAGATACTGACTACAGTAGAGATACTGACTACAGCAGAGATGCTGACTACAATAGAGATGCTGACTACAGCAGAGATGCTGACTACAGCAGAGATGCTGACTACAGCAGAGATACTGACTACAGCAGAGATACTGACTACAGCAGAGATACTGACTACAGCAGAGATACTGACTACAGCAGAGATACTGACTACAGCAGAGATACTGACTACAGCAGAGATACTGACTACAGCAGAGATGCTGACTACAGCAGAGATGCTGACTACAGTAGAGATACTGACTACAGCAGAGATGCTGACTACAGTAGAGATGCTGACTACAGCAGAGATGCTGACTACAGTAGAGATGCTGACTACAGCAGAGATGCTGACTACAGCAGAGATACTGACTACAACAGAGATACTGACTACAGCAGAGATACTGACTACAGTAGAGATACTGACTACAGCAGAGATACTGACTACAACAGAGATGCTGACTACAACAGAGATGCTGACTACAGAAGAGATGCTGACTACAGTAGAGATGCTGACTACAGTAGAGATGCTGACTACAGCAGAGATGCTGATTACAGTAGAGATGCTGACTACAGTAGAGATGCTGACTACAGTAGAGATGCTGACTACAGTAGAGAAGCTGACTACAGAAGAGATGCTGACTACAGTAGAGATGCTGACTACAGCAGAGATGCTGACTACAGTAGAGATGCTGACTACAGAAGAGATGCTGACTACAGTAGAGATGCTGACTACAGTAGAGATGCTGACTACAGCAGAGATACTGACTACAGCAGAGATGCTGACTACAGCAGAGATGCTGACTACAGTAGAGATGCTGACTACAGTAGAAATGCTGACTACAGCAGAGATACTGACTACAGTAGAGATGCTGACTACAGTAGAGATGCTGACTACAGTAGAGATGCTGACTACAGTAGAGATACTGACTACAGCAGAGATACTGACTACAGCAGAGATGCTGACTACAGTAGAGATGCTGACTACAGCAGGGATGCTGACTACAGTAGAGATGCTGACTACAGCAGAGATGCTGACTACAGTAGAGATGCTGACTACAGCAGAGATGCTGACTACAGCAGAGATGCTGACTACAGCAGAGATACTGACTACAGCAGAGATACTGACTACAGCAGAGATACTGACTACAGCAGAGATACTGACTACAGCAGAGATACTGACTACAGCAGAGATACTGACTACAGCAGAGATGCTGACTACAGCAGAGATGCTGACTACAGTAGAGATACTGACTACAGCAGAGATGCTGACTACAGTAGAGATGCTGACTACAGTAGAGATGCTGACTACAGTAGAGATACTGACTACAGCAGAGATGCTGACTACAGTAGAGATGCTGACTACAGCAGAGATGCTGACTACAGTAGAGATGCTGACTACAGCAGAGATGCTGACTACAGCAGAGATGCTGACTACAGCAGAGATGCTGACTACAGCAGAGATACTGACTACAGCAGAGATGCTGACTACAGCAGAGATGCTGACTACAGCAGAGATACTGACTACAGCAGAGATGCTGACTACAGCAGAGATGCTGACTACAGCAGAGATGCTGACTACAGCAGAGATGCTGACTACAGCAGAGATGCTGACTACAGCAGAGATGCTGACTATAGCAGAGATGCTGACTACAGCAGAGATGCCTATTACAGTAGAGATGCTGACTACAGTAGAGATGCTGACTACAGTAGAGATACTGACTACAGCAGAGATGCTGACTACAGTAGAGATGCTGACTACAGTAGAGATGCAGACTACAGCAGAGATGCTGACTACAGCAGAGATGTTGACTACAGCAGAGATGCTGACTATAGCAGAGATGCTGACTACAGTAGAGATGCTGACTACAGTAGAGATGCTGACTACAGTAGAGATGCTGACTACAGCAGAGATACTGACTACAGTAGAGATGCTGACTACAGTAGAGATGCAGACTACAGCAGAGATGCTGACTACAGCAGAGATGTTGACTACAGCAGAGATGCTGACTATAGCAGAGATGCTGACTACAGTAGAGATGCTGACTACAGTAGAGATGCTGACTACAGCAGAGATACTGACTACAGCAGAGATGCTGACTACAGTAGAGATGCTGACTACAGCAGAGATGCTGACTACAGCAGAGATGCTGACTATAGCAGAGATGCTGACTACAGCAGAGATGCTGACTACAGCAGAGATGCTGACTATAGCAGAGATGCTGACTACAGCAGAGATGCTGACTACAGCAGAGATGCTGACTATAGCAGAGATGCTGACTACAGGAGATAGATGA